GGCCTGACACTGTGGCTACGTCAAAAGTTCTTCGAACAACCCACAGAGCGCTGGAACGACGTCTTCTGAAAACAACCGACGTACTCAACATCTCCTCGGACATCGCAGTTCAGATATCAGATCAATGTCTCATTTCGCGATCCAGAAGAATACGTCTCTAAGGCAAAACATCGATGGGCTGATCATATAATGAGAAGGACTACAGATGGACACTAAGAACTCTGAAATGGATTTCTCGCGAAGGAAAACGTCCTCGAGGGAGGCCACCGATCAGAAGGGCTGATGCGTTCATTACACGGATGGACCAGCTAAATTCTCAGCTGGCAACGAGTAATGGATTTGGACCTTACGAACGTCGCCGCCGCACTTCAATACCTACATCGTGGATGACGCTAGCAAGAGACAGAAACGGGTGGAAAGAGTGTTGTGGCCTGCAGGGCAAGTGAAGACAGGCCATCTAAGTATCTAAGTAAGTAAGTAAGTAAGATCTACAGTAGAGCAGGAACAGTTTAATTTAGAACCGAACAAGCAAGTTTTGGGTACTGTCGTCATGTATGGATTCCTTGACTGAATTTCCGAATTCCCAAAGCCTTTTTTAGAATTGCGCACGAACGTAAAGTGTTGAAGTTCTATTTCAATAGTCAGAGAGGTACGTTACGAGTTGTGAGCTTGTTGTGACTTACAGCTCGCTTGAATTTCTTCCAATTATTGTCCAATTTACCGTTGAAAAAAGGCAATTTAGGCTGCCAATGGTGCAGTGCTATGTCTCTTTATAAGCATTTTTGCGCTAACAAACTTACAGCCTTTCAGAAAGGACTTCATACAGAGACCACAGGGATACCTCTGCCATACTCTGACCCGAATCTTCAAGACCTCATCCATAAAGTCATTTGCAAAATGACGAAGCGCAGCACAGAATATTTTTCATACAGCTCAGCTTTGAAAATCCAGTGGTATGTGCGGCTCAAACTTCTTGACGCGGATACTCACAAAGGATGAGGTGCACACCCGCATAACACTCGCCGAACCCACCATCACGTCCTTTGAGACGTTTTTTTCCTGCATTTCCTTTGCTACAATCGTTTCCTTCCTCGCAATTTTGGCTTTCAGTCCATTCAACTTGGTCGCAACTGTCGAAGCCTCGAGATCCTCTTGTTCTTGAGTTTTTTCTTCTCTTGACGACATCTTGTGTAAAAATGAAATGAGCTTGCCGTTTGAGCTTTATATATTGCCTAGGGCCTTGATAACGATCTGATTAAAACAATGTATGTCAAATATTCACTAATTAATTTTGGGTAGATGGAGCGGTGTAAAGAACAACTGATCTGAAGAACTTTTATATCAACAGCAAAAGTACCATCTTCTTTTTTTTTTGCTAAAACTTCCAGATCTCAGAGTTAGTATTGTTGAAAATATTTTTTTTACAATTTCAAACCTCAAGGCATATTTTTTGGAACATCATATAAATGGAGGAATTAAGAAATGCTTTCCACAGGGATTCGCTTAGGCGTCATCGAGAAAAATGTCTGTGTCCGACTAGCATCGGCGGCAACATAGCTGACCAAAACGAAAGCCAATAATAGTAGGCGTTACTCTCGTTTGAATGCTGCCTATGAAGGCCTGGAGCTTCCTGTCTGA